CGCATCCTGCTCGGCCCCTCCCCTGCCCGCAGGCCATGCACCTGTGTGGGCAGTGCGGATGACAGTGGTGTTCTGCCCTCAGGGGCGCAGGGCTGTCACCTCCAGCTGGTAGCGACTTCCCGGCACCAGGTCCTGGAACTCAAAGCTGGACGCGTTGGTGTGGGCCCGGAGTGGCTGCTCTTCCGGGGACCCCAGGGGGGTCAGGCAGCTGAGGCAGAGGGTGTGGCTGGCAGACCTCCCCTGGACGCTGACATTCACCCTCAGAGGCGGTCCGGGGGAGAAGGGCTGGGTCAGAGTCTCCCAACACCTTCTGCCCCAGAGGAGGAGAGGCGGGAAGGGCCAGAGCAGAGGCGGGGTCCGGGCAGAGAAACAGCCTTGCCCAGCCCCCTCCCCATGGAAGGCACCTACCTCCACTCTCCCCGAGCGGACCCCCTTCCAGGGAGGGGCACTTGTCTTCCTGTAGAGAGGGGGCAAGGGTGTGGGAAGAGATGGGCAGAGGCTCTGGGCTCCAGCCAGGACCAGAGAAAAGGCTGTCCTCTCGTCTGTCTTCCGCAGACGTGGCTGAAGGGCATCACCGCAGGACACCGAGGTGCAGAGGCCCTGGGGCCAGGAGCAGACTGTCCTGCTGTCCCGTCATTGGGGTGGGAAGGAGCCTCCCCTGCCCTGCTTACTGCAGCCCAGCCGCGGCGCCACGGGGCGGGGGGAGGCCTGGATGCCCTGGAAAGCAGGGGCGCACCTCACCTCGGCCAGGAAGCCTGGGAGCCACAGGAGGACCGCGCACGGGAATGGGGGCCCCATCCCGGCCGAGTCTGCAGGGAGAGCTGGGCGGTAGCAGGAGGAGCCCATCCTCACCCTCCCCTTGGTCAGCGGGCAGAGAGCGAGGCGCTCCCTCCCCAGCCCAGACCCTGTGCCAGCAGGGCCCTGTCAGGGGCACAGGGCTGCGGCCTCCAGGCTGCAGGCAAGCTCACCTCCCCCTGCACCCCCAGCTCCACTCTCTTCCAGCTGTTGGCTTTCCAGGCAGGAAACTGTCCCTCGAGACCCAGACCCAGAGGAGAGACGGCCTTGCGGGTGGGCAGAGACAGCTTGGTCCCCGACGCCACGCCCCCCAGGAGAGGAGGGGGTGTCTGACCCTCCACGCGCAGAGGTGGACCGGGCCTTTTGTTCCTGTGCAGAGGGGTCCTGGTGACGTGGTGGGGGTGTGTGTGGCTGGGTGCTGGGTGGATGGACCAGCTATGCGTGTGCGTCGCTTGTGGACATACACAGGCGCACGTCTGTCCCAAAAGCCTTGAGTCCCAGTGACGGTAGGTCTAGAAGAGCCCTCTGGTTTCACACTCTTGCCCCCCAGATAAGGAAGAAATATCCAGGGAGGGAAGAGCCCAGGCCCCAGCGTGAGGAGGGGAGCTGGGCTTGAACCTGGGACCTCCAGCTCCTGCTCCCGGCCCCCTAGGATGCGGGCTTGCCTCCCCCCGCCCCGCCCCGCCCCGCCCCGCCCCGCCCCTCTACCTAGACCCCGCCCCTGCCCCACCCCCTCTACCTAGACCCCGCCCCCTCCCCTCCCGCCCCAACCTGGCCGCAGGCCTGCGAAGGCCCGGGGCAGCCTCCTGGAGGTCAGGCACCCCACCTCCTGGAGCCAACAACTCACCTGGAAGCACTCCCCCGGAACCGCCACCCCAAGGCAGCTGACGCGGGGAAAGGAGGAAAGGGAGATGGAGGAAAGGAAGCAGCTCTGGGCCCCGGAGCAGGCTCGCAGGTGGGGAGGCGGACGCCCAGCAAACAGGCAGGTAGGTACATAAAGTCTGAGCAGCTAACTGGCTTCCTGAGGACCCTTCTCTCAGCCTGTCAGGCAGGGAGCGCGGGCCTGCACAGGGACCAGCCCCGGCCAGAGCCGGGGGCTACCTGCCCGTCCCCGCTCTGCCCAGCCCCAAACCTCAGGGCCGCCCACCGGCCTCTGGATGGGGGCCTGGAAACTCAGCACTGCTGCCTCATCAGATTTTCCAGGCCGCGCGCGCGCACGTGTGTGTGCGTGCGCGCGCACGCGAGTGCACATGCGCTCTTTCAAAAGGGCTGGGGGTGGGGAACAACTAGGGAAACTGATCTGGGGCCAGTCAGGCCAAGAGGAGGGGGACACACTGCACCTTTGGCCCTCCCCCTCACCTGGGCACCTCACTTTGGTGAACCTGCAGAGGCTGGAGACGTGGGGTGGAAACACGCTAATTTGGAATCTAAGTAGAAGAGGTACAGCAGGGCACGGCTTTAGGGAAGGGGTGACGTCTCAGACTGTTCCCAAGACTTCCCAGAAAAGGGGGTCCCACAGCTAGTCCTATGGATGGGGCCTGGCTGAGGCACCTGGCCATAGGGGCACATCTGTCAACCCCCAGCCAGACTGGGGCGGCCTTGGGCTGGGGGGCAGGGGCAGCCTGGAGAGGGTGCAGGAAGGTCCTGACGGTAGAAGCCGTCTCCCCAACCCAAGACTCTCCTTTCAGCCAAGAAGCACCACAAGGGCTGTGTCTCCTCCCAGCAGCCCCTCCCACAGACAAAGCCACATCCTCCACCTGGAGAGCCCTGAGCACCTTACCGATGCCTTCTGGAGAGAGCCAGCCAGAGGCAGCGGCGGACAGGGGACAGGTCCAGGCCTCCTGGCTCCCGCGTGCGAACCAGCCCGTCTCCCCCCTGCTGCCCGGCAGCCCTCCCTCTTCTGGCGCCCCTTCCGCTCCCACCGCTGAAGGCCGGCCTTGGGCATCTCCCACGCCCCGGCAAAGGTCCCCAGGGAGGGGATAGGCCTGGGTCCGTCTGACCAGGTTGTTGCGTGGGGCGAGGGGGTGTGCGTGCCGGCAGCCTGGCCATGTATGTGGCCTGACAGTGTACGCAGGCAACACTCGTGAGCCACGAGGGTGCACACACCTGCCCGGGTGCACGTGCGCGTGTGGCATCCAGGGACATCAAGGCGGCAGGCGCCGGGTAGGGCGGGAGCAGGAAGGCCTCTGGAGAGAAAGGCCACGTTGGGGAACACGTGTCCATTTCGCTGGCTCTGGGCTTGGGAGGGAGAGAACTCTGTTCTGTCCTGAAGTCCTCCTACAGGGGCCTGAGTTCCAGCAAAGAACAGGGCTCTTCCCGGGAGTCCCAGGGTGGCTGGGCCAGCCTACACGCGGGTCCTTCAGCCAGGGGCTTGAAAAGTATGGAAAGTCCCCTGCACCAGCCGGCACCCAGAGGTGTCAGGAAACTGGGTCGGGTGGGGGCTGGGTGTCTGGGGGGCACCCAGAGCCACTCCCACCAGCCCTCCCAGCCGGGGTCTCTGCAGCGTCCTCCGCGCGGATCCCAGCTCTCTAGGTCTCTGTCTCCCCTACACAGCCAGGGACACGCGGAATGGAAGCTGCCTGGGCTGGCCCAGGATCTGAGGGCTGTTCGTGGGGTGCCGGGATCAGGGCTTCTCCAGAGAGGAGCGGAGAGGAAGGCGGGGAGGGGAGCAGGACGTGGCCGGGTGCAGAGCCCCCGCAGCTGGCCCAGTCCCCGAGACCCCTGCCTCGGGGCTTTTATCGGTGGCAGCCTTTGACCCCGGGGCGAGCAGGTGCGGCAGGAACAAGTGCCTGTGGGAATTCCCGGTACACCGGCCCCTCTGGGGGGCTCCGGACCCTGGGGCTCACAGCTCTGGGACTGGGGAGCGGCTGCAGAGGAACAGTGCGGCCCAGTGCGTGAAGGCCAGGTGGGGAAAGGGAGCAGTGAGGAGGGGGACCAAGGAGCCGCTTCTCCAGCTGACAGCTCTGAGCGCCCGGTTCCACCTTCTCACCGATGTGGGAGGGGCGATCCTCGGCCCCTGGTGGGGGGGGCGGGGCAGCAATCCTGCGAAGGAGCCCGAGCCTCAGGGAGGAGCAGTAACTCTCCAGTCTCATCAAGGGCTCAGCAGGGTCTTCCTGGCTTCCTGCACCCCAGAACCCAGCTCTGGATGCAAGTCAGCAGTTGGAGTGAGCCACCCGAGAGCTGTTGGGGGCAGGCTCACGCCAGGAGCGGTGGGGGGGGGGGCTCGGGGACAGGAGTCACTCCTGGGGCATACAGGTCTTCACGTGCTCCCAGCAGCCTGGATGGGGCAGAGTCCACCCCAGACAAGGCACAGCGGGACCCCCGGCCCCCAGGCCAGGCTGCGGGGCTGTTGCAGGGCTCTGTCCTCTCTGAGGCCTGTGGCGGTGCCGCCCCCCGCCCCGCAGCTGTGTTTGCACCTCCAAAGATGTCCAGGCGTTTCTGAGTGGAAAGGGGCGAGGGGTGGGCAGGAGGCAAGGTGACTATCCACCTACCCCAAACACACCTAAAGGGAGCTGAGAGATCCTCGGGGTCTTGCTTAACGCCCAACCACTACCCGCCCCCCACCCCCCTTCCCCATTTCCTGGCCCCCAGCTTCCTTGCTCTCCACCCAAGAGCTCAACCTCCGGCTTCTCAAACCTTGGAGGGAGGCGTGCTCACAGCCAGAGGGCTCAGACCCTAAGAGCCTGGGGGCGCAGGCAGAGCAGTTTGGGGAGGGCTTCACCCGCTTCCTCCTCCCCACGCCTGCGGTACCCTAGCTTCCTGTTCTCGATAACAATCAACAGCTTGCCCCAGAGTGGGTGGCCCTCTTTCCAATCCCCTCCTGCCCCCCTTTTGATCCCCAGGCCCCCGCCATCCACTAGTGGAAACACGGGTGGGGTTGAGGGCCAGTTGAGGTGGAGGTCACACCCCACAGGTCCACCCAGGCTCCTGCCCCCTCCTCCCCGTCTGGGCACCAGAGCCGAGTGCTTCCTCAGCTCTGGACCTCCCGAGCCCCAGAGGGCCATCCTGTTCTCCACCTGGAGGCCAGCCCTTCCCCAGCGCCCCCTCCTGCGTGCCCACCCCCGGGCCTGTTGTACGTCATGCGTTTTTGCTGTCACCCTTTGATGGATGGCTGAATCAGAGAAGTGGGTGGAAGGGGAAGGATGGGATTGTGGGCGCCGGGAGCAGAGGGTGTGGGGACTGTTTCAAGGTGACAGGAGCCGAGCAGGGAGCCAACAGGAGGCCCGCTGGTGAGGCAGAGGTGGGCCATTGGGGTCTTGGACTTGGGCACCCCCCTTCCAGGCCCAGGCTTCAGGCGCCCCAGCGGCAAAGAAGACACAGGGGGGCTCCCCTGGTGTGAGAGCCAGAGGCTGTCCGCTCTCCATGGGTCTCTGAGTAGACGTCAGGGCTCTGGGAGGAGGCCTGGGGGGGCCTGGGGACGGGAAAAGCCCCGAGACCCTCCTACCCTCCAAGCTGTCTTCACTACCGACTCCCAGGGCAGCTGGCCTGGCTCAGGCCAGAGGCGGCTGGGTGCCGGGGTGCGGCTCAGGGCCTGGGATGACCCTTGAGCCTGGCCCCTTGGGAAGCAAGAACTCCTGCCTCCCCTTGTCCCACCCAGTCTGTGCCCACTTCTGTTTGTGCCTGGCATGATTCCCGCGGCTTGAAGGGGCGAGGGCTTCCAGGCGAGGTTCCGAGGCAGAAGCAAAGAAGTGGAAATCAGTCTCCAGCCGAGGTCCGTGGGAGCCGGAGTACCCGGGCCTCTGCGGGGCAGCCTGGAGCTAGGCTCGGCTCGGCGCTGCCCCACGAGCAGGCGGAGGCTGGATGCGCCCAGGACCCGGAGGAGATGCCCTGGAGGAGGGGGCCGGGTGGTCAAGAACGGCCCAGCACCTCGGCCATTCCCAGCGAGCAGGGCCGGGCCCGTGGCAAAGGTGCCAGGACAGGCCAGCGGCCCCCACAGGGGCAGAGGCGGGAGGCCGCCGACCCCTGGTGGTGGCAGCAGGCAGCTGGGGCGTGCGTGGGTGGCAGCGAGGAGGGGCGGAGGGAGGAAGCTGGCTTCCTGAAGCCTTCTCAGCCCTCAAAGACAGACCAACAGACAGACAGACAGCTGGCGAGAGGCGCTGGGGGACACAGCTGCTTCAGTACGTACCTGGGCGGGCCGGGGAGGAGCCCCGCGGGCCAGGGCTGTGGGAACCTGGGGAGACACGGGAGGGCGTCTGGGGGGGCATGAGCAGGAGGGTGCCCGGGGCCACGGCGCCCGGCTGGGGCGCGGGTGCTGACCCCCTGATGTCCCCAAGGGCCGGGCAGGGCCCCCAAGGGAGAGAAGAGGCAGACGAGGCCCTCCTGCTGCGAGAGCCTCTCTGCCCGCTCGGCCCCTGCGGGCGCGGTGACCCCACAGCCCCTCCCGGACTCGGAAGCTGGGACTCTGTTCTGGAAGATGGGGACCGTACCCCAGGGGAGGGCCCCCCACCACCTCTGCGCCCCCTCTTGTGCCCCCAGCTGTTGCCTCCCCATGTGCGCTGTCGCTCAAGGGCTTGGTGAGGCCATTTCCTGTGACGGTTACCGACCGAGGCGGGCTGGGGGGGGGGATGGGCAGAGGAGGAAGGAAACACCCCCAGCCTCCGTCCTTGGACAGAGACCCCAGGAGCCAGGACACCCCTGGGGCTGGAAGCGGCAGCAGCCTGCGCGCCCGGGGCCCTGGCGGCTCCAAGGCTGCAGGAGGCCTCCACCTTCCCGTCCAGAGGAGGCCCCCGTACACCCAGGAAGGGTGTGTGTGAGCCTTTCCTCCATCCAGAACCGCTGTGTTCCCCCCTCGCCCTCCCTGACCTGGCCTCCAGCGTGGGGCTGGGGCAGCACCCCGCCCCGCCCCGCCCCCCGATTCCTTCCTATCTTCACCCACAGTCTCTACCCTTCATCTTGCCCTCACTCTAAACACAGGCTGCCGCCTCCTGGGTGCCCCTGCAGAGATCCTGGTCTTCCCAGGGTGAAAACACCGCCACTTCCTGGGGAACGGAAGACACCCCAGTGAAAACAGAGGTGCCAGAGAGCAGAAAGCCGGCCTGGGCCTGGGAGCCTCCTCTGGCCGGCCCGGCAGCCCAGAGGTCAAAGGTCATGGCCCAGTGAGCCTCCCCTGGACCCAGCCCCCCCGCCCGAGCATGGTCCAGGCCCGCGGGGGGGCACTCCAGAGCACAGCCACCGGCCACCCCTTCCCCTGAGGGCAGCCATGACCCAGCTTCCACCTGACCAGGCGCCAGCCAAGAAGCACGTGCGCCTGCAGGAGAGGTAAGACCTTTTCCGGGAGGGGCTTCCCTCCTGCGGGACCCTCCCCACCTCTCCAGGAGAAGGAAACCAGATGTGCTCATTTGCATGTCATTTGCATGCCTTTTACCTGTCTGGGGCACAAGCTCTGCGTCAGCCTCGCACCTGCGCCCCAAGCCCCAGGTGGGGTTGAGCACCCCTGGAGGGGGCCGGGGCCTCCAGGCCTGGATGCTGGTCAGAGCTTTAGGGGCCGGGCCGGGAACGGGAAGTGGGGGCACCAGCTCTGGCCGACAAGGGGCGGAGGTGCACAGGGCCCGGGGCCTCTGGGGCAAGGGGAGACAAGAAGCCGCCCCCCAGAGGTGCCCGTAACAATCGTAACCATCAGAGGCCGGCGCGCGTGGGCTCACGGGGCACTGGCTGTGCTGCAGGCGCGGCTCCAATGTGGCTCTGATGCTGGATGTGCGGTCCCTGGGGACCGTGGAGCCCATCTGCTCGGTGCGCACGCCCCAGGAGGTCACCCTGCACTTTCTGCGCACAGCCGGGCGCCCCCTCACCCGCCGGGCCCTGCAACACCAGCCACCCAGCCCCAAGCAGCTGGAAGAGGAATTCTTGGTAAGAACGTGGGGTCCTCTCTGCGTCACTGCCCTTCTGAATCAGGAGAGCCAGCTGGTACCACTCTACCCTGGCCTGCAGGCCTGTCCCCTTTGGGCCCCTGGGAGAGAGAACCCTGGGGTCTCCAGGAAGGAACCCGCCCAGCCTCCCTCCTCTGCCCTCCGCCACATCTAGACCTGCGTCCTGATGCCAGGACGAACAGCTGGGTCCCAGCTCTACTAGGAAAGGTGGAGGGAGAGGAGGCTGGAAGGGGGCTGGCTGTTCACTTGCTCCCTCCCCCCGCCAGAAGATCCCCTCAAACTTTGTCAGCCCTGAAGACCTGGATATTCCTGGCCATGCCTCCAAGGACCGATACAAGACCATCTTGCCAAGTAAGGACTGCGGCAGGGTCCTGGGGCTGGAGGTGTTCAGAAGGTAGAACACAGCCTCAGCCAGGAGAGAGCTGCCGTACGCAGAGGCTCTTCTTCCGGCAGAGGAATGCCCACATCCGGGCCTGGCCGGGGAAGGGGAGCAAGTAACCACAGCCAGGGTGATGCTAGGCCAGCGCTGCTCAGTGTGACCCCAGGAAGCCGGTCTATGGTGTTCTTATCCCCATTTTACAAATGAGGAAACCAGGTCACAGAGAAGTTGTGTAACTTGCTGGAGGTCACACAGCCAGTTGCACCAAACCTCCTTCCTCCTCTTCTTCCCACGTGGGAAAGGGCCCACACAGGTCTGCGGGGGGAGAGGCCCCGTCAGGACGGCTCCCCGAGAGGGGCCTGGAGGGCCTCAGATGGACGCGGTGAGGAGGCTGCAGATGGCGGTCCCGGGGTCAGCGCCTCCTGTCCTTCAGAGGCAGGCACAGGCCCTCTGAGCACGAGGCCTGGGGACACTCTCCCCTCCCGCTCCGCTCAGAGCACCCTTGTCTGGCCAGGCCACCTCCAGGAACCCCGAGTCTGGAGGCCACAGCCCTCTGCCTGCCTGGGCCAGTCCAGGGGCTGTTAGCACTCAAGGAAGGGGGACTGCCCTGCTCCTGGCCCCGAGGCACCCTCCGTCCAGACCAGCTGGCCCTGGGGAGCCTGCTTCTTCATCCGGCCTGGACTGGAGTTGGAGAAAGGCCCCCTTAGACGGACAGCCAGGCTGACTCGCCCTGGGGGTGGAATGAAGCCTCAGTTCCAGTCCGGCCTCTCAGGAGACAATATCTCTTTTTCCATTTGTATTGCTATGACCCTGTTCTGCGCCTCACTGATCTCCAAACTAGAATGTCGTTCAGTAAAGGCCCTCTCCTCGCTTGTCCATCTTGCCCAGCACCAGCCAGGGAACCTTCCCAGTTACTTCTTTGACCATGGCCCACTGCTGGTCAGGAACATTCGGTGGCTCCCTTCTGCGTGCATATGAAATAATGCCATAGGTATCGGCCACCTGCTATTCGCAGGTGCCGTGACAAGCACAGGACTCCTCTCTCTGGCCCTGCGTGAGTTTGCTTCGCTGGTCACCTTTTGACCTGTGGCCTCTGCTGATTTTTACTTCCTAGACCCCCAGAGCCGCGTCTGTCTGGGTCGGGGGCAGAGCCGGGAGGACGGAGATTATATCAACGCCAACTACATCCGGGTGAGTCGCCGGCGGAGAAGTGGGGGGGCTGTGTCCAGAGAACCCCCAGGACACCACCTAGCACGGCTGGTGGTTGGGGCACCTGGTGTCCCAGCTCCGAACCACGGCTGCCACAGCCCTTCCGAGCCAAGCCGGCGCAAACAGGCCAGGACGACAGGCAGGAGCGCAGAGCAGACGTCAGACGCCGGAAGGAAGACCCCGGTCTCCTGGGCGCACCCCGTCCCGCCGCCCCTGCCAGCCTCACAGCGCGGAGGGCGGCTCGGGCCAGGCCCAGCCTGCGGCTCCCAGGTCTGCACGGAAGGTGCAGCGCCAGCTGGGGGCGCTCGGCAGGCTCCCTCCCCTCTGGCCTTCGCTGCTCCAGGCAGCCCCTCCTTCGTGGAGACGGCTTCAGTCGAGGAGCCAGGAGGCGGGGAGGCCAGCTGGGCTCCATCCCCAGCGTCAGCCTGCAGGGGTGGGAGGCGGCAGGTGCAGACTGCGCCCTCTAGCGGCTCAGAGTGGGTGGGACCGCGGCCGGGTGCCCCGGTGAACAGCCCGCAGCCCGGGGCCGCCTGTGGGGGGAAACGCGGCCCGGTGATGGGGAGTCTGGGGAGTCTGGATTTCACCGTCCCTTGAGGAGCAGGAAGCTGAGGATCCTGAAAGGGAGAGAAAAGGCTGGCAGGAGTGTGCTACGCCTCGCTGCTAAATGCACGAAGTAGCACCGAGGGAAGCATCCGCTCGATAACTACTGAACTGTTTCTTGCCTTTTGCGCTAGTATTCAATAGAGAGCAGCAGGGGAGGAAGGGGACAGTCACAGAGGCCCTGAAAGATGCTAGACTCAACCCAACACACTTCGTAGAGTTTGGTCTGCACCACGTGCTGCTGGATGGCCATTACTGCCCGTTTACAGACCAGAAGCTGGGAAACTCGCTCCCGGCTGCACGGGCAGTGAGCAGAACAGGGGTTGGAACCCGGATCTTCTCACTCAGAGCCCGTGTCGTGTCCACCATGTGGCGTCTGGTGTGTGTGTCTGTGACGTGTGTGTCCGGGCTGCACGGTCCCTGGCTGCAGCCTGAGCCCGGCACCTGCAGGTCTGGCCGCCCCAGGGCCCTGGCCTCACCGCCCACCCTTCCCCGGCCTCCTCCGCCTTCAGGGATACGGTGGGAAGGACAAGGCCTACATCGCCACCCAGGGCCCTATGCCCAACACCGTGTCAGACTTCTGGGAGATGGTGTGGCAGGAGGAGACGTCCCTCATCGTCATGCTGACACAGCTCCGAGAGGGCAAGGAGGTAGGAGGCTGAGGTGCAGTCCCTGGCGAACCCAGACGGACAGGCTGCACCCACGTCTGCAGCACACCCCTGCTGGGGCAGCTTCGGGCAGGGGCCTCCCCTGGGAGCTGAGGACACCTGTCAGTTCCTGAGACACTTGGCAGGGAGGCCAGCCCCAGCCAGAGGCGGGGGGGGGGGGGGGGACACTTTATCTGCAGGTGTCAAATTCAGGACAGCCCAGGGTGGAAATGCCGCAGGTGGTGTGGGGGGGGGGTCCCTGCTCCCATCTCTGCCCTGGCCTCTGACTCCCAGCTCCCTCCCCCCAGAAGTGTGTCCACTACTGGCCCACGGAGGAGGGGACCTACGGGCCCTTCCGCATCCAGGTCCAGGACGTGAGAGAGCGCCCGGAGTTCGCCGTGAGGCAGCTCACCATCCAGGTACCGCTCTCTGGTCCGCAGGGAAGTCGGGCCACCCTCACTCTCTGGAACTTCCCTGGGAGGCACAGGTTTACTCAGGGAAACCTGCTTGAACCCACATGTAAAGAGCTGCTTGGGACCAGAAGAAGAGGGATGTGGGTGCCGCCCTCAGGGAGCCTCTAGTCCAGTAGGGCAGCGCCAACGATCCATGTGGGAACCGCCAGGAAGGCCCAGCGGTCTGTGCCAAGCGCCCAGAGGAGGGAGCGGGGTCCTGGAGTCACTGCTGGAGGAACCGCGGGCCGTTTGACAAGATGCTTAATAACTTGTAAAAGGGCCTAAAAACGCATCTCTTATTGTGTAGCGTCTTCTGCTCTCCAAAGCGTTTCTCTATCCTCCGAGCATCATGGTCCCATTTTCAAGGTGAGGAGAGTGAGGTCAAGGGACTCACCCAAAGTCACGTGCTGGCTGGAGGCAGAGCCAGGACTGGAACCTGGGTCTTTCCGCCCTCCCCAGAGGTGTCCCAGGAGGGAGCGGTGGAGCAAAGTGAACGGGACCAGGCTGGCGTCTTCTGCTCGGGCTCCCTCCAGCCCCAGCACCAGGGAAGGGGACGGGCGATGCCCTCATCCTGTGCCCTGCTCTCATGCCTTGTCCCCACCCAGCACCAGGAAGAGCGCCGGTCAGTGAAGCACATCCTCTTCTCGGCCTGGCCTGACCACCAGACCCCAGAGTCGGCTGGGCCCCTGCTGCGCCTGGTGGCCGAGGTGGAGGACAGCCCAGAGACAGCTGCCAACACTGGGCCCATCGTGGTCCACTGCAGGTATGTGCCCCCTCCCCCGAAGCCCTTCCTCCCCGCTGGGCCCCTCCTGGGAAGGAGTTTAAGCAGAGCTGGCCCAGGTCTTACTTGGACAGGAAACTCTAGGTCATTCAGCAAGTGCTCTGTCCTTCCCTCTGGCTGCACAACCTGGACGTGTGGGCTGGACACCCAGGCACAGTCCAGAGAGGCAGCTCCCAGTCTGCTGAGGCAGGAGACGAACATGATCCCCGCTGTCAGGAAGCGCATTTATTCACTCATGAATGTTTACTGAAAACCTGGTATTGCCAGGCACAGTGTTAGATGAGACAGCTGTGAACAAGACGGTTTGGTTTCTGCCAAGTTTTATGGTCTGGTGGGAAAGACAGCCAACGAAACGAACAGGACGCAGCATGAGGACATAATGGGGAGTGGGGGGGGGCGGGCACAGAACGAAGTCGCCCAGCCCAGACTTTGGCCAGAGAACATCTTCCGGGAGCAATGACCTCTAAGCCAGGCTAAGACCTGAAAGGTGGATTAGCCAAGCGAAGGTGTTGGGGGTGGGCGGGGAAGCCTGCCAGGCAGATGGAGCAGCACGTGCAAAGGCCCAGGGGTGCAGTTTAGAAACTGACACGATGCTGGGAGCAGAGTCAGCGAGTAGGGGCCGGAGTCACATGGGAAGGAGGCAAGGACGAAAAAGCCTGGAAGATAAGTGACGAGGGGCCTCAAGGGACTGGCTCGGAAAACTGGATTTGCCAGTTACAAAGAACACTTAGGCCATGGGGTAAGAAGTGGAGTGATGCAGGAGACAGACTTAAAATAAGGAAGGCGTTCGGGATGCACATGCTAACTAGAACACAGCGGCCAAAAGCACAGGCAGAGGGGCTGGGAAACCCCTCCCGCAGGTGCACCCAGACGCAGTGCTGGGAGGTCCGGGGCTCACAGGGGAAGACTTCCTGAAGAAGGGAGGAAGTTAAGGGCAGGACAGAGCAGAAGGGACAGGACTGTGGGCAGGACCGAGGCGGGCAAGGGGGCCGGGTGCCAGCAGCTGTGAGGACGCGGCGTGGTTAGGGAAGGACGTTCCGCGGGGTCATCCAGCCCAGCATAGGCACCGTCAGCAGGAAGTTGCTGCCCCCCACCGACCAGGAGGGAGCGCCTCAAAACGCCCACAGGGACCCGAGGGCGACCCGGACAGGCTTTAGGGGGAGGCCAGCGAGGGATGCAGACGCCCCCGTGGCCACCCCGCGACCCGTGGAGGCCTCCCTATTTCCCTTCTGTTCCCCACCCACCCGGCCCCCTGTGACCTCCCCGCCCCCTCCCTGGACCCCTGGACCCAGCGCAGGGATCGGCCGGACTGGCTGCTTCATCGCCACCCGCATTGGCTGCCAACAGCTGAAGGCCCTAGGGGAAGTGGACATTCTGGGCATCGTGTGCCAGCTGCGGCTGGACAGGTGGGTCTGCGGACTGAGCGGGGCCCTTCACCACCAGGCACTTCCTGTGCGAGAGGAAGGGGCCCCTTTCGCTCCAAGAGCTGTTCTTTTGCAGCTCACACCCTGGCGAGAATCTCTATCTAGAATTTTAGCTCTCTGGCGGGGGGCGGGGCGGGGGGCAGAGGTGGGGCGCCTAGAGGTAAATAGGCCACCCTGTGGATTTACCCAAGCTTTCAACCTCTTCTGTTTCTTGTCTCTGTTTTTCCAAATTCCCTACTCAGGGGAAAGGTGGGGGGAAAGAGTACGGTTGGTTCTAGAAACTAGGTGGCCATAGGCGATGCACAGAAGCTCACTGGATTTGGAGAGAGAGGACCAGGGTGCATCTCACCGAGCTGTCACTGTGCTTCCCTGGGTCCCCATTTCTTTATCTAGAGAGAGACAATGGCCCTTTCCCCAGAGAGCTGCTGTAAGGAATGAGTTAACTGATGTGAAAGTATTTGGGGAACACGAGCACCTACTACACACATATATAGAATTATTACTTCTAAGATTACCGGGAAGAGGAAGTCTTGGGGTCAGGAATGTTCCTGGCCCAGCCTGGGGACTCAGGGGCTGGTTCTTCCCCAGGAGCTGAAGGGTCAGAGAAGACGCCTGCCCGCATGGGGCCCCTCCTACCCCCACCGCGGGCTGGGGAGGGTGCAGCGGGAGGGGTCCGCTGCAGAGAGGACGCACCTGGAAGGAGGAGCCCGACAGGCCTTCGGGAAGCTCAGGCTCTCCCCTCTGGACCGCCATTCACGGCCTGTGCACCTCTCCCCGCAGGGGGGGCATGATCCAGACCGCGGAGCAGTATGAGTTCCTGCACCACACCTTGGCCTTGTATGCCGCCCAGCTGCCAGAGGAGCCCAGCCCCTGACCCTGGCACCCTCCCCCGCGCAGGGCCGCCTCCCTGGGCCTGGGAAGGTGGGTTTGGGAGAGTGGGCCTTGTGACCTGGGGAACCCCCTGAGTGGGCATGGGAACAGGGTGCCCCTCGGGGTGTGTCTGGGGTCACAGGAAGCTGGACGGTGAGGACAGGGCTAGACACTGTCCTTCAGCACTGCCCACTCCCCTGCTCCCTGCAGAGGCCCCCCATGTCCCTCCGAGCTTAAAGCTGGCGGCTGACCTCTACAAGAGCTGGGAAAGAGGCCCGGGCATCCTGGTCCCTGCAACGCCGCGTGGGCCTCAGTCTCCTCCTCGGACATGGACATCAGGTGCTTTACTGCCACCGGGGGAGAACCACCAGAGGAGCACCTAGAAGCCACTCCAGCTGCACCCCCTTCCTGGGGCTGGCGAGAGAGTGACCCCAAGATCGCCCCCCACCCTGGCCCAGCCCGAGCACAGGCCGATGACCTGAGCTGGGAAAAGCCTGGTGCTACCTGGGCCAAGTCCTCAGCATCCTAGCAGGGCCTCTTCACCCACATCCGTGAGGCTGGACACCCCCCAAAGAGAGCAGGGACCAGACTGCCCCTGTGCCCACACGAGTGTCCGGGGAGCAGGCTATGGAGCTAACCTGGTGGGACAGTTGAACTCTCTAGAAGAGGGAAAGTGTGTGGACCCCTTGGAGGCCCAGACGGCTGCCCCTGCCTCCGTAGCTGCCGGCCACCCACCCCAGCTACTCTCCAGGGAGGCCCAGCATCCTCTGCCTGCCTTCGGACCCCAGAAGGGACCCCGAGTACCCAGGGAGGACACAAGAGACGAGCATGGGGCCGAGGGCGCTACCTGACTTTAGACAAGCAGCCCCGCCATGGCCGCCTCCCTGCAGAGCACACCTGGACGGCTGGCTGTTGCCATGAGCGACCCGGGTTAAAGCACCTACGTGGACCCAGGGGCTCAGGCTGAACCCGGACCCCCCATAGTCTACCCCGGAGAGCTAACTCCCCTCCGCCCCTCACAACCACACGATGTCCAGGGCCCCCCAGCTCTATGTCAGGGCTGACCACCACACCCCAGGGAGGCGTCCGAATCCTTCATCCTTGAATCCGAGATGGGCTGCCCATGGGGGGAAGGCAGGCACCATCCTTCCAGGTGTTTGGCCCCTGGGGGCTGCCTTTGCCGGGGCCAGTTCTCCAAGGAACCCCCCAAGGAGCTGGGTCCCGGAGAACAGCTGGCCTTCCCCTCAGACAGCGCTTCTGGAAAACATGCAGCGTTGGAACCGAGGGTGACTTCCTAATGCTTCTGCTGGTCTCCTCCTTCCTCACCGCCTGGGAATGGGCTCACACCCTCCTGAAGCTTTCCTGCCCTATGAGAGGCACTCCCGGGGCCCGTGGCGCTGGGTGCTGGGCCGTCAGGCGCCTGGTCCTCCCTCAGCTCAGACCCCACAGGAGGAAAGCCACCACACAGGTGGCAGGCTCCCCTCCCTGGGTGCTGTTACCCCAACCCCGTCCCAGAGCTTGAGGACAGGCTCTGAAGAGTGACCAGGTGGGAAAATAAAGACTTCGCGGATGACTGAGTCATTCCTTCTGTCCCTCTTCCTCTCAGGCCTCTGGAGCCTCTTTACATCAGTAGAGAGAGTGAGAATCCACAGGCCAAAAACAGGCTGCTGACCTTCACCCCAGACGTGCACTTTTCCAGCCCTTCCAGGGCCACGTGAAACAAAGTGACACTGGAGTCAGTCAGGGAAACGGGCAGAGGCGTTCCTTAGGCGCTAGAGAGGGACTCACAGAGGGCAAGGACTAGGAAGACCATGTAAGTTAATAACTTAATAACCCAGGATACTGCACGGGGCCAGGACTTTGTGACTCCTCCACTTCGGCAACAGATCATCTGGGGTCAACTCGGCTGGGCTTGGCAGGTACGGTTCAGATTGAAATTTTACGCACCTTTGACTGAAGCCACAGACGCCACGTGAGTGCCTGTGGAGGCCAAGTAGGAAGGCACGCCCAAAGCGGGGTGTGGGCTCAGGGGGTCCAGCAGCCCCGGGGTTGGGTCCTCCCAGGACCAGCATCTCTGCAAGCCCCACACCTCCTACCGCCAGCTCTCCTGAAGAAAACTTTGGTTTTTACCAAAACAGGCCAACTTTTTTCATCTGCCACAAACCTCCCTCACGGGAGACCCCCCGCAGGACTCTCTCTCTTTAGTATCATGGTGGTCCCAGGAAAAGTCACTGTGGGCCAGAGGCTTCCTAAGCAAGTGGCCCTGGTACCTCGTGGTTAACGAGGCCTCACAGGTGGATGTTCCCCTCCACTGGGGCTCCGGTACCCAGAGATGCTCAGAGGCAAGGACTTAGGGAACAAAAGATCTTAGAGACATCGTCCCCGCTTCCTGGGAAACCACGGACCACCATCCTCCACCCTGGAAATGGTCCCGCTCAACGGGGCCCTCGCCCACCTCGGGCCCACCGCCCTGTAAGAAGGAAGCGGGTGCCAATCGGGGCACGGCAACCCGGGAAGGCGAAAAACAATCGGAGCTCTTTCCCCAAGGGCCCCTAGCGCACAGCAGCCCGGCCCGCCCCGAAGGCCGCGGGCGCCCCGCCCAGCGTACCCGCAGCCCGGCCCGCCCGGCCCGGCCAGGAGGAGCGCGCCCGCTCGGGGGCGAGCAGGGCCGGCGGCCGCGCGGGCGGAGGAAGAGGACGAGGAGGAGGACGACTGCGAGGAGGACGGCGACCGGGAGGAGAAGGACGCGCGGAGGCCACACCCATCGGCGCGCCGATCCGGCAGCGAGTCGTCGGCGGCCGCGCGCTCCAGCCGAGCCTCCGCCCGCACCGAGTCCGGAGCCGGGCCGCACCGGGGAGGGGCCGCTCCGGCCGCAGCGCGAGGGCACGAGGGGCGGCGGGGAGCCGGCACCGGGCGCGGCCGGCGCAGCGACCATGATCGCTTTGTTCAACAAGCTGCTGGACTGGTTCAAGGCCCTCTTCTGGAAGGAGGAGATGGAGCTCACGCTGGTCGGGCTGCAGTACTCGGGCAAGACCACCTTCGTCAACGTGATCGCGGTACGGGGCGCCGGCCGGCCGGGCCTCAGGTCCCCGCCGCGCCCAGCCGAGCGGGTCGCCGCCTGGCGTGGCCGGCACGGCTGGCGCCGGCGGGGAGACGCGGGCCCGGGCGCGCGGGGCCTAGCACGGCCCTGGGGACCCGGCGGCGCGCGCCCGGGCCGGGATGGCACGGCCGGGCGCAGGGGCGGGGGACGAGGGGACGCGGCCCGGGCCCCAGGACCGGCGGCGCCGAGGGTGTCACGAGGCCAGAGGGACCGCCGCCCGCGGAGACGGGCCCCCTCCGGCACCCGCACCCTGGCGCATGACGGGGCGAAAGTGCAGGGCCTGCCCGTGCGGCGCGCGGAGGGTCGCAGGACGGATGCCCGCGAGGCTGGGGGAGGGGGCCCGGGCCGGCCCGGCCCCACCCCGGGGGATTAACCCCTCCTGGCCGGAAGAGGAAGCCCCGGTGCTATTGACGAGGGTGTGGGGGGGGGGAGGGATCCCTGGCGGGAGTGGAATCGGCAGAGGCCCTGGGCTCCAGCCCAGACTCCTTCTCCACGGGGAACCTCTCCTCGACCGTGGCGTCCAGCTGGGGGTCCGGGGAGGACGCACTGCATCCTAAAGGGAGCTCGGAGTCCCCGCCTGGCCCGGAAGTTGCAGGGGAGAAGGAGGTGCTTCGGACCCAGAGGATGAGTTGGAGGTGGAGGGGCAGGTCCACTCTGGGGACACAGGGGAGAGTGGCTCTGAGGGCTTTGGGTCATCAAGACCAAGGTGGGCAAGTGTAAGCCTTTCAGCGCCAGGGCAGTGGTGGGGAGGAGTTAAAATCTGCCTCGAAAAAGGGGAAGATGAGCTCCCTGGGTGTTTGAGCTGAGCTGCAGTAGTGGCTGCGGCCTGCATTTCCGAGAGGGCTGGGCTGGGCATGTGGGGCTGAGGAAGGCTTGGGCAGAGCTGAAGTGTCCGGGGACCCGGCCCTCGTCCGCAGACGGGGGTTTCTGAGAGCTGTGGAGCGGCCATACATGACAGGGGTCAGCAGAGAAGTGTGACCTGCCAGCCTGGGTACCTCCCCTGCCTGCCTCCTGCCCACCCTCGAAGAGAAGGGTGGAGGGAGACTGGGGGGCAGGTACCCCATGATGGCGTGTTTGGGCACTGGCTTCCTTTCCCAAACGTGTTTGCGATGACCTCTGCCCAGGGGCTCCTGGCCGCTCACCCAGCAGCACAGGCTCTTCGGGCCCAGGCTGGGTTTGTTGGCGCGATGGTTCCTGGGCTCCTGTCTGCCCAGGCGCTGGCCCTTGGTCGCAGGCTCCTGGTTAGACCTGGTGTTGACTTGGACTCCAAAAGCAGGAGCGCAACGCCTGGCCTCGGGTCCTGCGGGCCTGTGGCTTCGCTCCGAGGTGCCAAGATCGGGGGGCTGTCTCCAGGGAGAGGCCGAGAGGGGACCAGTCGGTGCCGCTGCTACTCTCGTGGCTCAGCCTGGGCATCACCTCTGGTCCCCAGGGAGTCTCTCCTCCTAGAGCGTTTACAAAGCTGTGTTCCTGGGCGGGGGTCCACAGGAACCCAGGCGGTTCCGTGTCCTGGTCGTGTCCAGAGAATGGGATGCTCTGGCAGGTCAGAAACGGAATCCAAGAGTCGCAGGTTTCACTGCCAGGGTCAGGAGTTTCCAAGGGGTGCAGCGAGGGCTCCCCTCCCCTCCCCCAGCCGGGCCTTCATGTTTATGACATAAATTTGCCACCTCAACTCACACATCCTGAAAGTGCAGCGTGAATTTCCCTCGAAACAGGCTTCTCCAGAACACCCATCCCTCGTGGGCTGCAGTGGGAGTGCCCGAGTCCAGAGTTCTCAGCTCCTCCAGGGCCACGGCATTGTCGCCCACCAGTGTATGATCCCAGTGGAGTGTCTTTCAGAAAGAAGTGAAGAGTCAGGACCCCGGGCTCTGACCCGTGCCCACCACTGACCTTCTGAATCCCCTTTGCCTCTTCTTGTGGCCTTTCTTTGCCTTAGGTTTTACCCATTTGGGTTTTTTCTACTCCTTGTATGAGTCCGACTGTAAATGGAAATTGAGCTCATGTGTAAGCTGCTCCTCTGGCTAATGTGAGCTGGGAAGCGTCACAAAGAGATTCTCCAGCGCATCTGAGAACCCAGAACTCCTGTCTGAGTTCTGAAAAAGTTGTGCTGCCAGAAAGTGGGAGATGTTTTGCCCGAGGGAAACAAGAGGCCATTTTCAGATACTCACAAGTGTGAAAGGCCATCCAGGGGAAGAACTAACTTTGGGGTACCCAAGGGGTAGAGCTGGGAAGGTGGATTTTTGACTCATTAGAAAGCACTTTGGAGTGTTGGAGCTGACCCAGGAGGGATGAGCCAGAGGACATTCAAGTCTGAGCCGGGGGTTCCTCCAGATGACGTTAGGGTGCCTGCTGACCTTGAACGAGGAGCTTGTGAGATCTGAGGCCTTAGCCGGGAAATGCAGTAGTGACTGGTTCCAGCTTAGCTCTGATTCACAGCTGAACTGGAAATACTGAGGCCGGGGAGCCTGGCTCCCTGAGGGTCCTCCTGGAACCCTCCTTTGTCCAGGATCACATTCTGCCAGGCTGGGCTTTTCATTTCTATGGGAGCCTGGGAATGTTCTGGGTGGCCAAAGAGCATGATGGTTCCTCATGTATGGAAACCATTTCCAAGCACTTTGTGAGCCCCATTTGCCAATATTTAGGAAACCAAAACCCTTTTCTGCCATTTCACAGAAGGAAGCCTGAGGCCCAGAGAGGTCCAAGTGTCTTGTCCAAGCTCCTCCACGATGAGGGATAAACAAGAGCTGGGCTTCCTTCCTCAGGACCACATTCTTCATCTGCCCGGTTAGGGATGGAGTGGGCTTGGGCCCAGTGGGTGCCCCATTCCACCTGCACCCTGTTGGGGTTCGCGGAGTTAAAGCATACATGGTCCTCCCTGCTTAGCCAAAAGCAAACCCTCGTCAGGGCACTCCCTTTTCCTCACGTTTCCTCACTGTTAGAGGCTCTTGAACCCTTTTGATATCTGATAAAAAACAGAGACCCTTTCCCCAGAGGCGTGTACATACAAACAGAAATGTGCACATACAGACTGTGCGCCCCTTCAGGGGGTCTCCGAGCCCCTCTTCGGCCTCCAGGTTGGGAACCCTCATCCGTCTTCTCTTGAGCGTCAGTCTTGGGCTCAGTGCTCACATCTGAGGGACTTGGTGAACGAGCTCAGGTGATTCCTGAAGATAAAAGGGAATCCATCCGTCTCATTCAGGGGGGGTTCTTCATTCAGACTCACAGGCTCTGAATGAGAGGCCATCATGTCCTACACTTTGGCCAATGGTCAGAGCCCCTGACCACTCTGTGTGGCCTTAGGCAAATTACTCCTCCCACCTGGTAGAAGACAGTGACATCGTAAGGGAACAAGGCTGTCCCCTCAGGTTCAAGGTTAAGTAAGCCCCAGCTCCTTCAGCCTGCGTCTGGGGGAGAAGCGGAGGTGTCCTACATGTGAACGTGGAGATGACCTTGAGCGGAGTTTGGTCTGGCCTTAATAGAGTCCTGTGGCTAGTTTAGAACAATCTTAGAGACAATTTAGAGGGGAGACGTGGGAATTGTTAGAATTTGAAAGTGGGTTATGGGAAACAGAATTACGGTTAACTTCTACTTACTGGGTGAACGTTCACCAATGTCAGTGTAGACATGGCTCCTCTCCCAAGAGCTCTCGGTCTAGTCGGGGTGCACGGTGAGGGGTACCCATCCTACAAATGGGTACAGTACAAAGAAACCCAGAAGTTGCTTGCTGCGCGTTGCCTTTGGGGCGTGGCTGACTTACCGACCCTCGGTCTGATGTGAACATTGACTACCGCGTGGAAGTGTAAACCTACATTGTTTAACGTGACCTGCCGCACCGGAGGCTAGATACAGAAAGGGGGCTCTGGTCCAACAACAGAGAGGTGGGTTAGACCTCAGGAAGGACTTTCTCCATCCTGGTCGGGCGACTTCGAGGGGCCTCTTTGTCACGGGAGCTCGGGTGTGAGGTGGACACCGGGCTTGGTCATGGCCCGTCTTGCTTGAAAGCAGGGGGCGCGCGGGAGCTGCCCGGGACACTGGGGCGCCTGAGAGGCTCCGGCCTGGCCTCTCTGCTTCATTCCCGCAGCCTTTTGGTCCGTGGCCGCCGCGGACAGCGCATCTGGGTCCTGGCGATTTTTGCCCCTTTTCCAATTCTGACTCTTCCTTCCAGTCGGGACAGTTCAATGAGGACATGATCCCCACCGTGGGCTTCAACATGCGCAAGATCACCAAAGGGAACGTGACCATCAAGGTGCGCGGCCGAGCTGGCCCCTGGGTGCAGGCCCACGGCCGCAGAGGATGTGTGTGTGCGTGTGCACGTGTGCGCGTGTGTGCACGTGTCTGTATGTGTCGGGCCTCCGGAGGAGAAGCTAGAGGAAAGCAGAGGCTTGGGTCCGACCGGATAGTTGGGGAAAGAGCTCAGGTAGGCTTAGGAGTCAGGGACGTAGAGAGAGAAGGAATTCCGGTGGGGCAGGCGGGGGGCACGTGGGAGCCAGGATGGACTGGGGGCCTGCCTGCTGCTGACACCCGCTCACCTCTCTTGCTCAGCTCTGGGACATCGGGGGACAGCCCCGCTTCCGCAGCATGTGGGAGCGCTACTGCCGAGGAGTGAGCGCCATCGTGTAAGTGTGCAGCAGGGCCGTGGTCGTTGGCAGGTGACTCACACCTGTGTACAGCTGCCTTTGCTTTGACACACGCTCTGGACGCCCACCAGCCAGTCTGAGAACCAGAGGACTGACCACTTCATGCTGAAGCATCTGTGTGTCCCTCCTCATCTCCCTGCCTACCCCCAACCCAGACTCACCCTTATCCTGAATTTTGTATGATTTAGTGGTTCATTCCCTTGCTTTTGTTTTTCCTTTCATTGTTGGCCGTGCCACACAGCTTGTGGGATCTTAGTTCCCCAACCCGGGATTGAACCCAGGCCTTTGGCAGGGAGCGCCGAGTGCTAACCACTGGACTGCCAGGGAATTCTCTCCCTTGCTTTTTAAAAATAATTTTATTCTACGTATATATATGCCCAAACAAAAGATCATTTAGCTTTCGTTGTTTGGTGGTTTTTTTTTTTGCGGTACACGGGCCTCTCACCGCTGCGGCCTTTCCCGTTGCGGAGCACAGGCTCCGGACGCGCAGGCTCAGCGGCCACGGCTCATGGGCCCAGACTCTCCGCGGCATGTGGGGTCTTCCCAGACCGGGGCACGAACCCGTGTCCCCTGCATCGACAGGCGGACTCTCAACCACTGCGCCACCAGGGAAGCCCAGCTTTCGTTGTTTTTAATGATTTTTAAATTTAAATTTTTATGTATTTTTATTTTTTTATAGTTTTTAAAGGTGACACTCCATTTACAGTTATATCAAAATATTGGCTCAATTCCCCGTGTTGTAAAGTACATTTTTGTAGCCTATCTTACACCCAGTAACCAGATTTGTTTTTATTATTATTATTATTTAAAAAAAATTTTTGGCCGCACAGCATGAAGGCTCTTAGTTCCCAGACTAGTGATCCAACCCTTGCCCCCTGCAGTGGAAGCTCCGAGTCCTATAACCACTGGACCACCAGGGAAGTCCCCAACCTGATTTTTAAAAAAACATTTTGATGCAGGAAAGTCTTCTGGGGCTTCCTTTGCTGTTTTCACCCCCTTGTCTAAACAGCCCTGCCCTGAGAACGTAAGCGGGTCACTCTGGGAAGGACTTAGGTCTAATCCTATGGGGCCCAGCGCTGCCACCGGAGCGGCAGCTTCTCCAGAGGTCTGGGGGATGGGACAAGGGCCGGCCGCAGCAGCCCCTGCAGGTTCTCACTCCCATCAGTTCAGAAGACATTCTCAGAGCACCTGCCTGAGCCATCCCAGGTGGCGGAGACCCCGGGTGTCGAGCCAGAGCTGCTGCAGCTCCTTCCCCCCCAACCCCGCAGCCTGTGGTGTCAGCTTGTCCCCACCTGCCGCCCCCCAGGTACATGGTGGATGCCGCTGACCAAGAGAAGATTGAGGCCTCCAAGAATGAACTCCACAACCTACTGGACAAGCCCCAGCTGCAGGGCATCCCGGTCAGCCCCGAGTGGAGTGGGAGGGTCGGGGGCTCGCCGGGAAGGCCGGGGACCGCTGGGGGCAGGTGGGGGTAAACACTGCTGGCGGTGGGGGGAGGGAGGGGTGCGGATGCAACGGGGCTGCGGAAGCCAGCCCCCTTCTCGGGGCAGCCAGGCCGTGGCTGCCCTGGACCGAGCCCTGCCCTCCCTTCTCGGCAGGTCCTAGTCCTGGGCAACAAGCGAGACCTCCCGGGAGCCTTGGATGAGAAGGAGCTGATCGAGAAAATGTGAGTTGGCCACTCTTCCCTGTCCTTCCTCCCTGCTCCCCAAACTCCCAGGCGCCAGAGCAGAGGGCTCGTTGCTGCTCTCGGCGCCCACCGCTTGGTGGCGCTAGAGCGCGCCTGCCCGAGCCCCGCCCTTCGCCCCTCCCCCTCCCCGTCCCTCTATCCCCGACCGCCCCCGCGCCCGGCCCCCGGCTCCCAGCCCCTTGCTCAGTGGCAACCTCAGCAGACAGCTCTGGTCCCCTGCAGGAATCTGTCTGCCATCCAGGACCGAGAGATCTGCTGCTACTCCATCTCCTGCAAAGAAAAGGACAACATCGGTGGGTCTGGGGGCGTCGCTGCGCTCGCGGGGAGGGCAGGAGGCGAAGGCAGCCGGTGGCTCTCTCCTTGGAGCCCGGAGCGCCGTGGCTCTCCTGGGCAGGACAGGCAGCGGGAAGCCCCGATGCTGAGCATCACCCCAGCTCTGCCGTCAACTGGTGTGTGATCGTGGGCAAATACCCCCTCTCCTTGGGGCTCACTCCCTGCCTGTGACGTCGTAGGGTCGGACCCTTCTGGTCTGAGGGACTCGTCCTATGGCTCCGTCTCTTTCACCGCAGCCAGACGCCCTTGCACCCATCAGGGGCTGTTCGGAGCTTGGCAGCTGGAAGCTGGGCTTGTGATGCCCTTAGAGTTGACCCTAGCTGCAGCGCGCCCCCTCCCCCCCCGCCCCGGCCAGGTGTGTGCTCTACCCTCAGGAGAACCAGCCCTGAAGCCCTGTAACCTCCTCTCTTGCCCCGCAGACATCACCCTACAGTGGCTTATCCAGCACTCAAAGTCACGGAGAAGCTGAGACTGCGGCCCCGCCCCCTCGGACCAGGGACCGCCCTCCGGATCTGAAGCCGAGCTCCCGCCCCCTCCCCCCGCCGCCCCCCAAGCCCACCCCTCCTTACTTGGTGTGGGGAGGGGCCCTCTGGGGGTCCCAGAGTCCTGTTCTGCTGAGGTTTGAACTCCCGATTTTATTGTAAAATAAATTGCTCCCCTCCGGTCCTCTAACCTCCCCCCTCCCCTCTCCCTTTGTCTCTCCGCCGCCCTGCTTCCCTCCCTCTCTGAAGCCCCGCCCCACAGCCCCGCCTCCTCTCCTGTCCCGCTCCCGGCTTCCCTTTCCCACACTCTTCTGTTATTGTCCTGTGTGTACAGTATATATATGTATATATATTTTAATTTTTTAATTTAAGCAAAGACTAAAATCAACCATTTGATGCTGCAGGGGCCAGTCAGGATCTGGGAGGGGGCGGTCTGGAGAGAAGGAGAATAGCGGGGTTAGCTGGGGCCGGTTCAGATCAGGAAAGGTGAGGCTGGCACAGGGGCAGGTACCAGCCCAGGCACGGGTGTCCGTCCCCACGTCCCGTTTGTCTCCACTTCCCAGTCTGGCCTGTCTCCGCAGTGTTTGAATGTTACAGGCTGACGGGAGCTTCCGGAGACGCCCTTCTCTGCCCCCAGCCTCAGCATGGCCACCAGGCACAAGCAGGCGCCGGAGACCGGGGGCCGAAGGGGCAGGAGGCCAGCGCCCTAGCAGCCCCTCCCGCCTGTTCCTGGCTCCCAGCTCCGGGCCGTCACCTCCACGGGCCACCTCATTTTCTGTTCTCGTTTTGCAGAGTTGCACAAGGAGAGAACTCGGCATGGGGGGTTGGTTCTTTGGGTTTTGTTTTCTGTTTGTTTAATGATTTGTAAAGTGATGTCCCTCTTCCTTTTTTACACTTTTCAGCTCATATTTAACCTCTGTTTGGAAAATGATTCTTGTATCTGTACATTTTTTTGCCTCCTAACAACAACAAGAATAAATGACAATTTTGTGTTGGGGGGGTGCGCGGTGCGGTTTTTATTTCCGTCCACGGCCCGGCAGGCTGGGGACTCTGGTTCCCGACCCTGGGCGCACCCAGCCAAAGGGAGGCACGCGCTCGCCCGGGCGCACAATGGCCCTTCACAGAGCAGCCCCCGCGAGCGCGCCGGCTCCTGCCCTGCCGCCTCCTCTAGTCGGACGTTCCTGTGTCCCCAGCTCTGAGCCAGCAGCTGCCAGGGGAATGGAGGGGGTCTGTGTCCGGAACTGCCCGGCTGCACCCGGTGTGTGCGGGACGGAGCCCGCTTCCTGGAGTCTGTCCAGGCCCCCACCTGCAGCCAGAGGTGGAGAAGCCGGTGAATTGTCCTGGGGGGCGCGGGGGCAGTGCCGGGCCTGCAGAGCCCACGGCTTACCACCCTTAGCGGCTCCTCTGTTGGTGTCCAGGCTGCTGGCTTCCCGGCAGAGGCCGTGCCCTCCCTTCCCTGCCCACCCCCGGCCCCTCCCAGCCCACTCCACTCCTAGAGCTGGTCCCCTCTGCCCGCAGCCGTGGCCTCGGAGGCTTGCGCCCCGCTTCCCAAATCCGGGGCCATCTTGACCCACTTTTACCGTAAGCCCCGCCCCCTGGCTCCCCTCAGCCTGGAGACGGAGCGGCCCTGCGGAAGGTCCGGCCCTGCTGAAGGCTCCACCCCTTCTCGCCGCACCTCTGCAGGGAGGAAGCCCCTTGCACCGTCCTGGGAGCAGGGCCTTCCCTGGTGGCTCTGAGCTCACCGGCCCTTCCTCGCCGCTTCCTCTTGGAGCCTCCTGGTCATCAGAACCGCAGGGAGGAATGGCCTGCCTGGAGAGGGCTTCCCCACTGCCGGGGAGTTTGGGGAGAGAATGCAGATGGAATTTGGCGGAGGGAGCTAGATGACTTCAGGTTCCTTGCAACCCCTAAAGGATAGGACACGTGCCCCCTGGTCGAGGAGGTCGAAGCTGGGGCCGGGCTGTCCCCTGGGCCCTCGTGGCTGCTGAGGTGGCTGGAGATGCCACGGCCTGGGAGGCTGGGACAGGACCAACAGTCACTGGTCTGGCGAGCGGGATGGGGAGTTTTAGGGATGAGCTGCCTTTCTCGCCTCCTGCGTCCTCTGAGGAGATTAAGACAAGATGGGCTGGTCGCCAGCAAGCAGGCATCCTCCTGCCCCAGTGCCTGCACCCAGCACACAGCAGGTGCTTCGTAGGACAGACTGCGTATATGTACACCAGCATGGGGGGGCCCTTTGCACGCCTGGCCAAGCCTGCTCTGCAGTTCTGGAGAATTGAACCCCCAAAGGGAGGGAGGGAAGGAAGGTGCCAGGCGTCATGCCGGGAGCTTTATGTATCTTGTCTCATTCAATGACTCCAGGCCTCTGTGAGGGGGGGTTATTCCTGTTTAACTGATGGGGTCCAGTAACTGCGTCCAGTCCGGCCCAAGGGAGGCAATTCTCAGTGCAAGGTGCGCATACTGACGGAGTCCGGGCGGCTCAGTGGGTTGGCCCTCCTTCCACCTGGCTGACATCAGGGCTCAGGGTTGGTCCCCTAAAGACCCAGCTCAAGTCCACTGCCAGCTGCCGCCCCACCCCAAGCCCAGGACCCCTAGGCAACAAATGCCACATTGTTCCCCCAGCTGGCCTAGCCGGAGAGACAGTGGCTCTTTCCCAAGGCCTGCTGGCCTGCTGACTAATCCTGCAAGCCACTCACGTTGGCGGGGCCCAGGGCAGCGGTGGTGGCAGGGCCTCAGAACCGCAGGGAGGGGCAGGGGCCCCTTTGTGGCAGAGCCCCCAAACAGGATGCGGCGGTGCCCCCTCCCCGCCCCCAGCCTCCCATCCTCGGCCTGCGCGTCCCGCCTTCACCCTGGCCCCCCTCCTCCATCCCATAGGAGGCTGCTGGTGCATCTGGGACTGGGGCTGGGGTGGGGGGAGAGGGAAGGGCCCCGGTCACCTCAGCACCACAAGCCTGTCCTTGGTCTCCTCTCCAGCCTGCTCCCCCCACCGTCTTAAGTTGCTGCAGACAGAGCTGGGGGCTTTGGTCACTGTGGCAGCGGTCGGCCGAGAAACGGGTGGGTGTCTCTCCCGCACAAAGAGCGTGCAGCCAGCAGCGCCATCGCCTAGCAACGGCCTCCCTCTCTCTTGGCATCACCCGTCCTGAGGGTGGGTGCCAGGGGGAGAGAACAAGGCCATTAAGATCCGCAGGAGTGGGGGAAGGAGGCTTGGCTCCGGGCTGAGGCCGGGGGGTATGGGTGGGGTGGGCAGAGGAGAATGGAGCCCAGGGCACCGGGCAATGCCTGTGCCTCCCCGACCCTGCCCTGGGGACCCTCCTGAGGCCCTGCGCAGGTGATCCAGGCAGAGCTGGCAGCAGGAGCTCCGCGGGAGCCCGAGCTGCGCTTCAGATGGGAAGGGTGGGCTTGCGGGGCGGGGAGTGGTCTGTTTGCCTAGGCCAAGGTGTCCCTTTGTTTGACCTCATGCCAACTTCGCTGGGCCCGGGCGGGGCTAAGGGGCCTCTGGAAGGGCCCCCTGTCGTGGGGGGTGGGGGGGACCAGAGAGAGGAAAGAAGGCTCTGTGGGGCTGTCGATGGAGCTCTGCCTGCCGGGAAGGGGGTGGGGTGGGGCGGGCGGGGGGCAGGCAGCTGGGCCGTCTGTAGGCTAAACAGTCTGTTCTAAGAAGCCAAACAAGGGCAGCTCTCAGAGAGGCTGGAAGCCCCCCAGGCTGCTGGTTGCCCTCGAATGGGGGCTTTGTGGGGAGGGAGGAACAGCAGCGGGGGCTCCCGGGGAGATAAGTTTGCAGCCTTCTACTTCCCAGGGACGGCTGGGCTCAGGCCAGCCTGAGGACACAGTGCCCCAGCTCCCAAGCCCCTCCGTCCACTCTGCCCTCAAAGCCACAGGACCCCAGGCTGGACAGGACACCAGCCACAGGCCAGGAAGGGCCAAAGGTGGCCAGGAGGGCACTGCCGGGATGTGGCACAAGAAAGGCCCGTGGGCACAGGGGTAGTTCTACCTAGTTTATTGTTTTCCAAGAAGGGTCTTCTACAGGGGAGCACCTGACCGGGATTGGGGGGGACCGGGCAACCAGGGTACGTCAGAGAAGGAGGAGGACAGAGACAGAAATGCTCCTGGAGAAGAGACGGCACCTGGAGGGGGCGTCCAGGGCTGGGCCCATCCTGTGCAGAGAAGAGACCGGTTGCTGGCCCCCAAGGCCCCCGTCCAGGATGGGCGATGCCGAGAGGGGCAAAGTAAAGTGTAGTCGAGCTCCAGATGGAGAGGGGAGAGTGAGGCTGGGAGCAGGTGAGGTTCTGGCTCCCAGCCGGTGGGATGGAGAGTCTCTGGGCAGCTCTGAGGACCTGGGGGATCACCGCCCCCCAGCAAGAGGACAGGCGGGCCGCCCCCGAGAAGGGGCTCGGCCGGGGGCTCCAACATACCCAGACCCCAGCCGGGGGAGCCGAGTCCATCTCTGGACAGAGCTCCCCCTGCCACGGCCGGCCAGCCTCAGCAGGGCGTGCCCAGGGCCAGGAGCGGGGGCGCCTCCCGGGGCTTGTGGAAGTAGACAGAGGTGGACAGCCCCGTCTGGAGCTTGGCATCGGGGCCGTCGGTGGCTGCCACCCCGCCGCAGCCCTCGCAGCAGCAGCAGCAACAACAGTCCAGGAAGGCGCGGCCCAGCGGCCGGCACACGCACAGGAGGAGCACGGGCGTGGCGGCCGCCTTGAGGAAGGTGGCGAACTGGCCGACCAGGCCCAGGAGGTCCAGGGTCTGGCGGGTGAGCGTGGCCGAGAGGTAGGCGGCCACGACATTGCACACGTTCTCGGGGAGGGTGCAGAGGGTGTAGACGGCGGTCAGGCCCACCACGGTGCCGCTGAGCTGGCCCTCGTGCCGCTCCTGCTGGCCCGGCCGGCACTCCGGCTTTCTGCCGGGCGGACCCCACACCCGCCACGTCACCAGCTGGCAGGTGACCGTGAAGAGGACGGGCAGGCAGAAGTAGCAGCCGAAGGACCACCACATCCGGGCGTTCTGGTAGGTCAAGACCAGCGAGTAGAGGGACTCGGGCAGGCGGGCGGAGGGCTTCATGACGCACGCGTCCACGGGGCCCGCAGCGGGGCCGGGCTCCTGTACCAGCTGCCAGAGCAGGAGCTCGGGCGCAGCCAGCGTCATGGAGCCCACCCAGATGACCGCCAGCTTGGCCAGGATGGACGGGCACGGCTCGATGGGCCTGGCCTCGGGCAGGGTGCTGGTGGCCACGTGGAAGCGGTCAATGCCCAGGGCGCAGAGGCTGAAGGTGGTGACGCCGAGAGAGGAGACCTGCGAGGGGGCGTGGTGGGGGGAGAGGCGGGGGTCAGCCCCAGGCAACCGAGGGGCTGGCTCAGACTGGAAGCGCACGGCAGGCGTGGGAAGGACAGTGGTGGCACCGCCATTCAGCGGCATTTCAGATCTCACGGCCAGGGTCTGACGGGACAGACCGGGCTCAGGCGGGACCAGGGCCTTGGTGGACGGCAGAGCTGAGGTTCCCCTGCCGGCCGCCCGACTCTTGCGCCCACTGCCTTGCCTCTGGGCCCAGGGACGAGCGACCTAGGCCCTACAGCCCCTTGTGCTCCTGAGACTTTGGGAAATCATCTCTGAGGACAAACATGGACGGAGACGTAGGGCTCCTGGGCCTGCCGGGTGCTTGGATGGCCTCACCCACCATGTCCATGGGGGGAGTGGCCTTGGGGGTGCAGGGCATACACTCTCCCACCCTCCTCGCCCTGCCCCGAGAGGCCCAGGGCCAGCCCGAGTGGGGACGTAGTGGGCCTGTGCCCACTCCCCGCAGGCAGCTCACAGAGCACACAGGAAAACCACCCGGTGAGCAGAGAGGAAGCCAGAGCAGCAGGGAAGAAAGTGGCAGAGAGAAGTGACAGGGCTGGGGCGGTGCTCCCAGCTCAGATGATGGCTGGGCACACTCAGGGCTGTGCTCAGTTCCCCCCTCCGTCCAAGCACTCCCCTCTCCGGCTGGCTCCTGCCCCATCTCCAGGCAGGCCCCAG